AATTCTGGGCGTTGAAGTCCACTCATCTTAAAGTGGCCAAGTTTGGACAACACTGGCTTAAGCATTCCTGGAGTGAGGTGGTGATTTGATGGCATGCATTCAAGAGCAGCATGAACTGCAGGTGGATTGTTTGAATGGCAGTGCTTTAGATGTGTTCAGAAACAGTAGGACTCCTTTTGCCAGTTCATTAACCCATCTCAAATGATGGTTCCTCAATTTGGGGAATCCTTTGTGGACGTTAGGTCTGGTTGCAGGAGATGGTGGCTGTTGGTGGTGATGAGGGTTTTGAAGGTGAAGGAATGTGTGAGAGATTGCATCAAGGCTACCAGAGAAGGAGGATCAAGACCCAACCAGCCATCAGATGGGAGAGGATGTTATTGACTTACCAAAATTCTGTACTCAGACTCCTGGTTCTTGGTATTAAAACTGATTAAAGGAAGTCCCCACAAATCTTGCCTCCTTGATTGTGTTCTTAGGCAAGAGTTTTGACGTTAATCTTGAGAACTGAGATAGCAACTCTCTAGCCCTCCTGTGTTAGTTCCTTAAGGAGGGAACTCTTTTAACATTTGAATGCCTTTTTCCAAGGCTGTTTGCCTGGTGGACTAAGAATCAGTTTCTTTGATAAGCCAGAACAGCCCTTCCCACTACCTGATTGTTTGGGTCTAGAGATATTCCTCCTCCCCTCTCGTTCTCAGCACAATCTCTCATACAATGAGCTCTTAGCATGTGGGCAGGAGTTTGGACACCCTTCCCTCCCAGAAAATGAGTTCTACCTCTGTGTCACCAGATAACATCAGTTTGAAGGCCACACTGGGTTCTGCCCCCAGTGTAATGCCCGTATCCTTAGAGTCACAGGGCTTGAAACTTTGAGATTTGGCTATAGGGAAGGACTGAAATAATGGAAAGGGGATTCATCATCAGGGCCCTGCCTGGTATTGGTCACCTGTTAGGACCTTGTCTGAGTACTGAGCAGTCAGTTCAAGCCACCAATCTTCAAGGAAATCCCAGTCATTATTAGTTTGAATAAAAATTGGGGGGGCGGGGCAGGGGAAGAGTAAGTATTGATTAGCAAGAGACTTCGTGCCCCAGATTTCAATTCTGTGGCTAATGCCAGGGAATTACAAGCAATAGGTTAGATAGGAGGTCATGCAAATTGGAGGACATTAGAACATGACCACCTTTCTGGCTAGTATTGCCTAAAGAGAAAAAGAGACATATCCCTCTAGTTCTGTAGATTCATTTTCCCAGTTTCTGGCAATTTCAGACTTTCCAGTCAGGGAAGTAAAGGCAGGATCCTTCTGCTTGGCAGATCAGCCAAGTATGTTCAGGAGAGCAGCTGAATAGTGTGCGATACAGGCAAATGTCATTCAGTGGCGGATACCATTGGAGGTGACCCAGCATGGTCCATTAAGTTCTGGGCAGAGCAGCAAAGAGTTGCTTGGGCTGGCTTGGATCAGGGGCTCTTCTGTGCAGAATGGAAGACTTGACTCAAGCCTCTTGGGCTGTAAAGGGGTCTCCACTAGATCAGACGGGGTTGGCTTCTGCTTCTGGGCAGTTGGGTCCGTGGGGGTCATCACCTCTGTAAACTGGTGATTTGTTGAGAATTAGTGGCAGCGGATCACCTGTGCTGCCCTTGCAGACAAAGCTAGTTGTCACATTCAATGGGATGGAAGGAGAGCAGGATGGACCTCCTTTTGGTGATTGGCAGAGATTGAAGGAGGCTTTGAACTTGGCCTTCTCAGAAGCTGGACAGATTAAAGCAGAATTGTCATGGAGATTTAACTGAGCTTCTTTTAAATGCTCTAATCTTTGTTTCATAGAGGCTTGTGCCTTCCATAGTGCTCTTTCTATGGAGCTTTCATAAAGGAATTCTTTCCAACAGTTTCTTCTGGGAGATCACTTGGCCTTGAGAGGGTTAATACTTCTTTAGTTAAATCTTGATTGCTGCTTGCTGGAGGCACTGCCTTATCTGTTGTTTGTGTTAGTTCCACTTTGGGGTTTAGAGTCTTCGCCAAACACCATGATTTAAGTTAGGCAGTTATGGTTTAATGTTCAGATCAAGGTAGGGGGGAAATCCCAAAGCCACGGGTTGGAAAGATTTGAAAGAATTCCAAGAAATTTTTCGTTTTAAGTAGCCTCAAAGAGGAAGTTGGGGTCTTGAAATTTCATCTGTCTTCAGGGTAGCTAGAAAAAAGCTCACGTCACTGGGTGAATTTGAGATCTTGGGATACAAGTAACTAGCCCAAACATAGAATGATTGTCTCATGGGGAAATCCCATCTCTCCCTCTCTCTCTCTGTGTTGGGGGGTGTTTTTCTGTGATAAGCATTTTGGGGCTGTATGTAGTACATACCTGGAAGAATCAGCTGGTAAACGAGGAACAACATAGGGTTTTGAAGCCAGTGAGGAAAGAAAAATAATAAGTGAGACTTCTAGGATAAGGACTGGGAAATCAGAGTTCACATAGTTCCTTTTCAGAGAATTGGAAAACATCTTCAAGGCCTGTGGACTCTATTTTGATTTTTGCCAGAACAAAATAGTTGGCAGAAGTGAATCGTTTTTGTGCACCCATCTGAGGTCACTGCCTCTGTCTCTATCTACCTACAGTTGAGTTATTGAAGATGAGAAATTCTAACTCTGGCCAACTGAGCTACATAAATACCTGTTCAAAGGCCATAAGTGTAATGCTCCTGTTTTGTGGTTGAACAATGTAACATCAAAGCGGTGTAAATATGAGATCAGCCATTTCACTTTTTATTGTTACCATGTTCAGAGACACAAGCACTCCCTAATCCATTAAAAATCAATCTCCCTGCGCCATAGTATTGTCTGTTCAATGCAGGAAGCCTAACATACCTTAACTGATGGCTAGTAGGTAACTTCTGCATGACCACCTTCAGCTAGGGAATGAACCTCAGTGTGGATAATTTTATTAAGTTGTGTGCCATGGAAACCAATTGTTCAAAGCTAGCCCTGATGCTTGCATTTCTCAGGCACTTTGCGAGCGACGTTAGCTCATGGAATTAGAATGTGTGCATGTGGCTGAAATTGTGGAGGCCACCAAGGGCAAAGCCGTCCCATTGTAACTGCAGGCAGGGAGACATTGGGCTGGTGGTTCCAATTTGGCTTCAGGGGAGAATCCAAAGCAATTCTCAACCTTCTCCTGATGAACATGTTTCTCCAAGCAGGCTTTGACTGATAAATCCAGTGGGACAGGATCTTGAGGGGCTTGCTTCTGGCCTGAGATGCTTTGATGAAGAAGGGTAGGATACCAGATGTTTTTGCCTACACCTGGAATCCACTCCTCCCCCCCCCTTGCCTTTAAGGGGCATACCAGAAGCTGCACTTCAAAGTGGTAGGTGGAAAGGCCAAAAAAACCTAAATGCAGTTTCATTTTATTCTCATTGGGTTAAGACTAAAGACCATGAAAATGTTCATTCACAGCAGTGTATGATTGTCCATTTCTGTCATGTTGAGAATTACTACAGTATTTGGTGACTTCTGGAGATCCGAAAGGGTGCAAACAAGGATTCTGAAGGTTGTACAAAGCTCTAGGTCAGTGTTTCTCAACCTTGGTAACTCTAAGATGTGTGGACCAACTCCCAGAATTCCCCAGCCAGCCATGCTGGCTGGGGAATTCTGGGAGTTGAAGTCCACACATCTTCAAGTTGCCAAGGTTGAGAAACTTTGCTCTAGGTCCTTAGACTGGAGTATGGGGCCTGGAATAAACATAGTTTTTGAGTCAGTGCTAAGATTGGGGAAGGGAGCTGGCAATCTTAGGAGATGGTTTTGGTGGTTAGAATTCTTGACTTTATATTGTGATACCATCAGCCTGTTTGAGATAACCAAGTAAAACAGCTGTAAAATTTTTGCAAAGCTGGGGCGGGGTAGGGGGAACTATAGCTTTGTTCATACAAGGCAACTGAGCCCATGGCAGGATTGCAAGAATCTGTTAATGTAGCTTTACCATTTTTATTTTTTAAAATTTATTTTCAAATTTATATGTGCCACCCATCTCCCTGTACAAGTGACTCTGGGCAGCGTTACAAGTAAAAAAAACTGTAAAATCTTAGAAAAAATATACAAGTTAAAAACTACAAAAGGTTAAAATTAAAACTAAAAGTTAAAACTACAGTACAGACTAAAACTAAAAAGGGGTTAGGGTTAGGACCTACAATCAAGTAGAATTAGTTCATCTGGCTGTGTTTCCTGTCTGGTCTACTTAGTAAGGCTGACATCAGTCTTGCAAGTCTGAAACTATAATTCTCCCCCTTCCCCAATCTCCTTTATAGCCTGAGAAACTAGGGAGGGTCCCTTCTGAGCCTCTTGCCCTGCCCATGTTCCTGCTGCGGGCTCAGCTGCCTCTTATCTGACCGTTCTCTTGACTGCGTCTTTTTGCTCTGTTTCCCAAAGTCATTCCCAGATGCCATTACAGGGTCTTCTGAAGAATTGCCAGATTTCAGTATATTGTCTTGATGCTCTTTCTGTTTTCTTCCCTATTCCCTTCCCCTCTTCCTTTTTTTAGAATTTCCATGATGCTTCAGTCAAAAGATAATAAAGAGGAAGCAGCCATGAGATCGTTGGTCTTCACTTAAAGATGCAAGCCAGAATGGCTGCTGTAGAAGCTGCAGGCATCGGTGAGAATACCGGGGCCAAGTCCTTGTTGGTCAAAGATGGAAATCAGGAGCCACAGGAGGAAAATGGGGCAGTCAACCACCTCTCCGAACACAGCGATGCTTCCTTTGCTGGGGCAGAGCTGAATCGGCAACAGGCGCCTGCCAGCAAGCTGAAGAAGACAGCCTTTAAGTTCTTTGGTGGGAAGAGAAGCATCTGCACCCTGCCAAGTTTTTTTGGGGGGAAGAATAAAAGCCAAGCAAAGGGAGCTTCCAAAAAGGGCCTGAGCAAGAGCAAGACCCATGATGGCATCAGTGACGTGGGGCATGAAGATGCCAATTCTAGATGTCTCAGGAGTCCCTCCGATGCAGGAACAGACTTCCCTCCTCCCCAGCTGCCAAGTTCTCAAAGTGCTCTTTTGGGAGCCAATCTCAGAGTTGGCTTTGCCCAGCCATCAAACTCTCTGTCCAGCAGTTCTGAAGGCTTTGAAAAGAAGCCTACGGGAGAAAAGTCCTTGTTCCTACCAAGATCTAAAAAGGGGCTGAAAGGGCTCTTTAATAGTATTCGACGTCATCGGAAGAACAAAGTTGCCGAGCCTGAGAAGACAGAGCTGCAAGAATGGGCTCCCAGGGATTCTGGGACCGAAGAACAGCCACATGGAAATGAGCTGGTTGGGAGTATTAAAAGTGAGGCTCTGTCCCCAGAATGTGGGGAGAACTTCTCTGGTGATGCGGTGCCTCAAATAGCAGCCAATCATACTGAGTCAGAAGAGATGGATTGCATGGCATCGAGCCCAGCTAGGTCTGTTGGCGAGGCAGCTAAAGGATCAGCATGCTCTGAAGGATCTCGAGATGGGCAGCTGAACATGGATAATGTCTGTGCGAACTCTGCCTACAGTGACCTCCCTAATGCTTTTGAACCAGAGTTTCTGGACAAGACCCCTCCTTGCATACCATCCAGGGAACAACTTAGCTTGATGTTTGGGGATGTTACTTCCCTTAAAAGCTTTGACTCTTTCACTGGCTGTGGAGATATCATTGCAGAACCAGATATCGATAGCATCACGGAAAGCTCAACGTCCGTGGAACGCAGCAGAGACACTGCCAAGAGGAGCTCTTGTCTGGTTACTTACCAAGGTGGAGGGGAGGAAATGGCCCTGCCGGGTGATTTAGAAGAATATCTCCAACAGATGTGGGAAGGTGCCATCAAAGCAGATGCTGTCTCTGAAACACATCTGCCAGAGCTCATCACAAAATGTGAGCTTCAGGAGGTGAATGGGGTCAAGCAGGAAGCTCATCTCTACACTGAAGGAACAAGGAATGATGTAGAACTCCTCACACCACATAGCGATCAACAAGAATCTGCTCCCAATAGTGATGAGGGCTACTATGATTCTACCACCCCAGGTCCTGATGATGAAGCTGGAGATGGTTTAGATGAAATCAAAAAAGACCACCTTCCAAGGGACAGCTACAGTGGGGATGCGCTTTATGAATTCTATGAACCTGATGATGCACTGATGAGCCCGTCTCATGGGGATGGATCCTGGTTTGATAGGAAAGTGTCTCCTTTGGAGATATTTGACCAGTTCCTGGACTTTGCTCTCCCTGATGAGAAGGACTTGATCTGGCTGATGGATCAGAAAAGTGAAGTGATGGAAACAGAAGAGCAGAGGCTGGCAACCCTCCAGAAACAGCTGCTTTTTTGGGAGATGCAGAGAGAGCCGGCCTTGAAGCATCTTGATATGCTTAGCAGAAACCAACATCTGAGACCAGTGCAGCTGTCTGAATGTAAAATGCAAACAACCAACTTAGTTGGGAAGGGCTCAAGTTGCCTTGATTGTGAGCAAATGAATTTTGGTGCTTTGAACAACAGTCTCAGGGCTGGAAGGAAACTAACAGCAAAGCAAGACTGGAATGATTTCCACAAAGTGCTCTGTCCAGAAAAGCATCATAATAGCAGCAGCACCACTAAAGCACACAGTAGTTGCCTTATTGAGCCTTTGGGGAATGGCCCAGGGTTGGACTCCAGTGCTGAACATTCGGTGCTTGATTCCTGTGCTTTGAGTAGTTTGGCTCCGGGGAAATCCGTGACCTTCCCTTTGTGCAGAGCACATGGCTACCACAGTTGCTCCCCAAGGAAGCAGCCCCAGGGCGTCAGAGCTGACTTTCAGCAGCCCTGCCAGGAGCAGAAAGAGGAACCAGAGCAGGCTGTCAGCTTCTCCCAAGCCTTGGTGGAATTCACCAGCAGTGGGACACTTTTCTCCAGCCTGTCTGAAAGCCTTGGCAGCTCTGATTCAGGCTCGGCATTCACGCAGAACCTTCCTGCCCTCCCAACGATGGTGACTTTTGACATTGTCGATGTGGAACAGGAAGGGGAAGGGGAATGTGAGGAGCATCTAGAGATGAACACAGACGAGGACATGACCACGTCCTTTGAGGCTTTCAGGGACTCTTATGACCCCAAAGCATCCTTTGCTGAATGTGATGAGCGAATGTTTCCCGAGTATCCCCAGATCTCTTTCCAAAGTGGTCACTGGGGAGCCGCCAGCCTTCCTCGGTGTATTCGACTTCAGGAGCTGAGTCCACCTCTGCTGGAGCCTCTGTCCATCTGCAGGAGAAGCCGATCGCTTGATACCGAGAGTCTGGAGTTTGAGCTGGCAAGTTTGCAGCTATCCAAGGACAGTTTTAGGCCGTTTGAGCTCTGGAGTGGTTTCAAAAAGGATCCTGGTTCTCCTGGGTTGGACAGTGGCCGGGGAGGTGTGCCACACTCTCCAGGAGAAAGAGAAGGAGGAGTCAGTGGCCTCTCGTGGCTAGGACTACTGAATGTACCATATGGCGGGGAGGCGTTTTCCTTGCAAGACACAGACACAGGGGAGGCTGATCTGAATACGCCTCCCTTTCGAAACCCTTGGGGAGCATTGGAGCACTCTGATACGGCTCCTCCTCTTGCCTTCCCGGGGCAGAATTCCACCAAGGAACCAGCTGGACAACCTCCTGCAGATGGAAGTAACCATCCAGTCCTTCCAGCGTTGAGACCAATAACCAGGCCCTCCACTCTGTTTCTGCAAGCCCCTGTTGTGTCGCAAGAAGGCTGTGCTCCTCACAGGCCTGGTGGGGACAATCTGGCTAAAAAACATGCTTGGGCCCTCCCTTTGGGAGAGACAGGACTAGATTTGCCTCTGACCTTTGATTTCCCTTGCTCCCCTGACAAGCCGGCAGTGTGTAAGCCTGTGGATGTGACTCAGGGAACATCTCAGCTTCACACCAAGCAATGCTGAGACCATCTTTAAGGGCAGGGCTGAGCACTGGGGGAGCTCTGGACCCAGAGCCTTTGGAAAGCACTTCCTGCCAGCTAGTCAAAGTCCATGAACTTAACTAGCCAAGCAGCTTCTGTGAATAGGGCTCAAGCTAAATTGGAGTGGGCTTTGGTTCCAGTGGGCTGTGAGGATACAGAAAATACTGCAGACTGTTGACTTTGATTTGAAGCTAGGAGGACTGGATGAAATGATGCTGCTGATGTTTCTCCTTAAACAGACTTGCTCGTGGGTAGAGGGAACTTCTCTTGGTCCCCAAAATGATATGGAGAGAACAGGAACAGTCTCAAGTTGAGATTGGAGTAAAGTCCTGGATCATGTCCAGCTGGACCATCATGGGAAAAGGGGCAGAGATAATTTCCAAAAGCCAACTAGGTGGCCAAAGTAAGAAGGTATATTTTGGAGTAGGGGGAAGCTTAAAAAAAAGGATCCACCAAAATGAGAGGTTTGCCTGTGGTCAGACTTGATAACTCCTAGTTTTTGAGGGCACGTGTGCTTGGAACTCAACCTGCTAAGCTGCATTTATTCCAAGAGATGCCTGTAGAGCCGAGAGCGAATACAGTGGTGGCTGGGGCCTGCCTGCATGCCTTTTAGGGCCCCAGAACCCCCTCCAGAGAGGGTGGGGCCAGTTTTCTCACTTTTTTTTAGTTGGGGGAAGTTAAGGGGCAGAATTAGTGCCTTAAGCCTTGTAGAGGCTTAGCACCCATTTTACACCCTAAAGCCTTCCCCCCACCAACAGGTCCTGGCCTGGGCCATTCCTGGAGTGTGGCCTTTGACAGGTGGTGCAGGGTCTGGGGTGGCCTTGAACCAGCAGAAGTCTGGCACTCATGATGTACAGGATGGCAGCTATGCAGCATGTCTTCAGTGCGTTTACTGGTTCGAGAGTGCTGCTCAGTTCAGTGGGGCTTCCTGCGGCTTCAGGGGGCAGGCAGAAAACTATCCGACCTGGTGCTGTCAAAAGAGATGAGATTGTAGTGGGTGGACTGTGGGCAAAGTAACAAGAAAAAGGTGGCTGCTGGTTAAATTAGGACAAAATGTGACCAGAGGGGAAATGGGTCAGAAAAGGCCTTGACATCTGTAATTTAGGAACATCTTACTTGGGGTATATTACTTCTGAGAAGACATGCACGTGCTGTTAGAAAATCAAGAACTCTTCTTGATACTGGAACAAAGTAATATCAGTGTGTTTGAGGAGTTGCACCTTCTGAAAGGGCATATTTTAAAAGGGGGAGGAAAAAACCACTACATATGAAACAGTGCCCTTATTTAAAGTGATGGAATTCTGTTACAGGTAGTCCTTGACTTACAACCCTTCGTTTAATGACTGTTCAAAGTTACAATGGTGCTGAAAAAAGTGACTTACAGCCGGTCCTTGCACTTACGACTGTTGCAGCATTCCTGCGGTCATGTGATCAAAATTTGGGCGCTTGGCAACTGGCATGTATTTACAGTGGTTGCAGCGACCTAGGGTCATGTGATTACCATTTGCGACCTTCCCAGGGGGCTTCTGACTAGCAAAATCAATGGAGGAAGCTGGGTTCGCTTAATGACTGCAGTGATTCGCTTAGCAACCATGGCAAAAAAGGTATAATCAGGTGTGACTCACTTAATGACCACATCACTTAGCGATGGAAGTTCAGGTCCCAATTGTAAGCTGAGGACTACCTGTATTTCTTAGTTATGGTTAAAATTTACAGCTGTGCAGTGCTTCCAGTTTGATTCCAGAGAGGAGACTTGGCCTGTTTGTGTTGTTGGGAGGGGGGTGGGGGGGATGGAGACCCTGTCCGTAGCTCTTCAAAGAAGCTGTGCCATTTTCTAGGATCAGGTGGCCATTGCAGAAGGAAGCCATCCAATCCAGAAAAAAGGATGAAGCTGCTTTAATGAGTTGTAGCCAGGCTGTATGTATGCTCTGAAACTCATTTTTGGAATCAGATTTGAAGCACTGCATGGCAGAATATCTGTTGAAATCAATTTTCTGGGTGTCTAGAATGGCTGCTAATGGAATACTCGGATGCAGATAGGCTTCTTAGGAAGTGTAGCCTCCATAAGTTGGCCAAACTGCCTTGGTCTCCTGCAGAATTCTGCTAACCTGTGACCCTCTAGCTGTCTGATACTGTATCACCGGTTGTCCCTGTTGCACGTAAGAAGGATGTGCAGCTAGGGGATTATGACATTCCATATGTGCAATTTTATTTTTTTATATAAGCTAAGCTTGTAAATGTGTTGTTTGACCAGTGGGGAAAAAGTTCTTTCTCCTTCCGTGCAGGGCTGGCTATTTGGGCAGAAAATCCAGATCCTGTGTCCCACCTGTGCACACACACAGGACAGAAAATGTGGGGCAGGAGCTCCCAGGTCAGTCTCTTTGCCAAGGACAGGAGTTCAAGACTGCCCGGTGGGGATATTTGCTGACGTTTGTGCAGGAGAACTTCCAGGGAGAGTCTGCCCCAGCAGTCCATGCTGCACCTCCCTGACAGTGTTCAGGATTCACTACCTGAGGCAAACCTTGAAAGTCCTGCCTGGTTATAAGGTTGGTGCTAATACTTTGGAATCCTGTGTGCACACGGGCCAATGAAACATTTCGGGGAAGCCTGCAGGCAGAGCAAGAGAGGGTCCAGCTTCTTCTTCATGGTGACAAATAAGTCAACAAGCTACCTGTGATACCGCCCAGTTCCGCTTTTGGCTGCTGGAAAGCCCTTCCACCCTCGCCACTGAAATGTGGTGGTGAAATTTTACTTTCAAAGAAACGGGAATGGAAAGCAATAGGCTTGGGGTATATAATTTAATTGCTCCCTCCAATTAGGAGCCAAAACATTTGACGCTGCCTTTTTCTGGAGGCACGCTGTAAAAGAAGAAAATAACAGGGTCCTTGGCCATCTGAAAGCTCCTCCCATTTGCGGTAAATCAAGGATTTCTCACTTAGGAGTAGCTGTCCCCAAAGAGAGAGAAGGCGAAGTCTGGTAATAGGATAGGGACCCTCCAGAGGCACCAAGTTCCTGGTTCTTCTGACTGGTCTTCTCTGCTGTGACAGCTGTCCTGGGATTCAGTTGCAAGCTTTGAAGGCCCTCGCCTGCAAGGCCTAGGTGTAGAAGCAGAATACTGAGCTGAACTGAAGCAAGAACATTTTTTTAAAAAAAAAATTAACTTTCAGCTTCTTCCTGTTGATACAGCCTAAAACAGTTTCTCAAGCTCAGCAACATTAAGGTGTGTGGACTTCAGCTCCCAGAATTCCCCAGCCAGCATGTCCACACATCTTAAAGTTGCTGAGCTTGAAAAATACTGGCCTAGAATAGTGGTTCTCAACCTGGCCTCCAGGTGGCCTGGGGAGATGGGAGTTGCAGTGCCGCATAGCTTCTACAGGTGGCAGCGTCTCGCTGGAACCAGCGTAGGGTCAGAAGCTAAGTAGGATCAGGGCTGGTTAGTATTTGGATGGAGGACTTCTAGAGAATCCCTGGGCTGAGTGGGGAGCTGGAAAAACATCCTGAAAAAGGGCAGTGGTTTTGCGTTGCTGCCAAGACAACCACATGGATGTTGGGGTCCATGAAATCACCAGAATTGAAAGGAGATTGACTTCTATTCTCATCCAAGCAGAGTTTGGGAACTTTTGATGTAGCTGGACTGCTTTCCAAGGCAGGGGTGTGTAAGGGTTTGGGGTTTTTTTGGACCATTAATTCTAATCATTTGTTTAAAATTCCTACCCATTTTGTTTCAGCCCAGGATCTTTCCCTCCCATGCAGCAAAATCAAGAGATAAAACCCTGAGGTGAAATTGCCCCATTGTGTCATAATCAATGGGACTTATTGGCTAAGACATTGGACCAGACTGGGGTGACCCACAGTTCCAAGCCATGGAACCCCACTGGATGGGCTTGGGCCAGCCCCTCACTCTTGGCTCAACCTACTTCACAGGGTGGGTGTTGTGGGGAAAAATGGAGGAGGGAAAGGTTGAACTCCTGCAAATTATAAGTCTGTTGAATAAAAATGAAATAAGGGACAGGCTTTCACATGTTTTGTGAAAACAAGCAAATTGGGCAGAAAGATTCTAACTCAGTCTTCTCCCTGCTGTGCTATTTGGGGAGGGGGGGGAGTGGGCTTATAAATATGTCAATTGTGTCATGGAGCATTCAAGACCCTACCTTCCCATCTCCAAACTTGGGGGATATGTTTTCCATCTGATCTCCACTTTCTCAGATTCTGCCCCTTCTTCTGCTCTTAGGTTTTGCTGGTTGCCATCTCCTTCAAAGGGGGGATTCTGCTTAGGGTTCCAACTTGGGGTGAGAATGGAAAGATTTGCTTCAGAATATCTGAGACCTACCTCCAAACATTTGGTGGGACATCTGGCAGAGTGAAACAGAGCCCATTGGTGGCACGTTTGTCAACTCCACTCATGTTAAAATATCTAAGCCAGCTTTCCTTCTGAATGGCATGTCTTGATATATTGGGCAATATCTCCTGTTGCTTTTAGCCAGCATGACCAGTGGCCGATGTTTAGATCCTATATCCCTGACTGCAAGTCAGGATGAGTCCAAGCCAAATACAGCTAACTGGCCATGGTGTGGTAGGCCATCAATGCTTGAAAAGCCTCCAAATGTTGCCTACTTGGGACTTCTGAAATGGGGTGCGGTGGGGTTGGGAGGCATGATCTATGCCACGTAGTGGGGTTGAAGGGACCTCTGTTTTCAATTGCTGCAAACTATTATGCTGCCTATATTATGGGTAAAGTTCACCGTAATGTATGTTGTCCATGGCTTTCAGGTGTGTTGGGTTTGGAGTGGCAAGTGTGTGTAGTTCTTTCTTCCTTTTGAGCATATCACCAAAGACATCTTGTGGAGTTTGTTAAATGGCGTAAACACTCCCTCTTTTTCATTTCTTGGTTTGGCGGGGGTTGGGGAAAGGGGTATATCATAAGTGTTCAAACAAACTAATAAGAATGTTTGTCTACAGAAATGTATTTGTTAGCCTTTTGGTTGTGCATATTTATAGAAATGCTTTTTTTCCCCCCAAAGAAAACCATTTTATAATATACTAGTGCGCTCAATACTTTGGCTTTGCATAAGAGATTTGACCTCTTTCCAAAGGGTTTTTGGATTTTTGTGTCGTGTGCTGTTTGGGAAAAAAAAGGGTGCAGTGTCGCAGGGAAATGTTGGCAGAATTGTGAGGATGGGGAACCACGAAAGGCTGAGCAGTAGAGCTGGAACGGATCGTCCCGTGTTTTCTCTTCTTCTGTAGTCTTGGTGATTGGACCGTTTTGACCTGATAACTTTCATGGCTCAAGAAATAGAGTGGATTGTGATAGCAGTGTTGCGTAGCACCATATGTTGTGCAGAAGGAGATAATGTTCTGACTACTAGTGGGGAACACTCACCGCACTGTTAGCCCTTCGAGGTAGTCTGGCCAAGAAGCACACCCAGGAGTACTAGTTCTACCTTTATGATAAGGTTACATTAACAGAATCTTGCAAGTCTGAAAGTGTTTCTCCCCTCCTTTCCTTTTACTTCCCAGAAAACTAGGGAAGGTCCCTTCTGAAATGCTTCCCACACCCTCTCTCCATCTGTGGACTGAGATATCTTTTGCATGATGGTTGTATAGTCTGCGGTTCTTCCTCCTGTCTCCCAAGGTCATTCCCACATACTGTTACAATATCAGGGAGGAAGAATAATCTATGAAGAAAAGCTAGTTCACTACAAAGAAAATCTGGACATGTTCAAAAATAGGATCCTCCCTGCTTCCTGTCTAAAGTGGTTCAGCTCAGGATTACAACCTCCATACCTTATCACCTCATTCTTGGTAATGTGTTTCTTGAAATGAAAGTGCATATGTGGCAAAATCTAGGGCTTGATCCACTCTTCTAGCTTCTAGAGTGTTTCTTTATTCTTCTGAGAAAGAGATTTGGTTGACCAATCAATTCTGTAGATGAAAGTCTGTATAAGGCAGGAGCATGCAGTTTTGTTTGGGATCTATGGAGGGGCTCTGTACTCATCCAAAGATGTTTTACACCAAGATAGAGTTTTGTTATTTCCATTGCTGTAGAGGCAAGCCTCAGTTCAGAGTCAACAACTGCTTGCCTCTTCAGCAGTTGAAATGCTAACAAAGACAGTATGAATAGTTCTCCACAGCGTGCTTACAGCATCAGCCTTGATTAGAAGTTGATTGTTCTCCGATAGCACGTAACATTTCATAGCATGAAGCCTGTGTCCTATGGTATTTTTAATTCTCCAAGACATTGGTCCAGTTAATTCAGACTGATTTCTGTCTGAATTTTACAATCTTGGAAATTTTCCTTTAAGAATGGGAGCGCACTAAATGCCATCCTTGGTCTTCTTTGGGTGATGGCCTTCAACTCAAACTAAATCAAAGGAATTCTGGTCCCTTGTATATTTTATTGCACAGAACAGGGCAGGGTTGGTCTTTTAAGGAGTTGGGGTTGGAGGAGGAGGAGGAGGAGGAGATGGCTAATGCTAGTATTGTAATCAGAGGAACAGTGTGACTTGATCTGTATGCAGACATGTACTTTCCCATTCTGACATCAGCCCTCATATGAGCTAGGATTGGTGAAGATAGTTTTCTCAATGGACGTCTTGTGATCTCAACTTGTATAAAATTTACAGGCCTTAAGGATTTCTCTTATTTGCTAAGTTATAACACTACTGTAAGTTACCTTGTAAACGCAGTTGTGTTTAAGAATGTACTAAGAGCTTTGCGGCTCCCACCAAAGGCAGCTAATCCAGGATTTCTTTACTAAAAAATCCAGTGGATAGCAAGCGATTCACTGCTTATTCCCCACCATGGTGGAACTAAAGATGATTTTCCCAGGGGAACAAAGTTAAAGTGTAGGACTTCTGCAAAATATTTGCTTGGGCTGGTGCATCTTAAGTTAGTTGCCAGATCTAGAGTTTGGAATGAGCAGGGAGTTTGATCAGAGTACCAAAGCATCCGGGTTGGGAAACCCCATGGAGGTGGGGGTAAAAAGTGATTTTTCTAATCCAGGCAGAATTAGGGGGAAGGATAGCTGGTGTTCCCTGTGGCCAAAAAAATGTATTGGGTTGTGTGGATAAGCAATGGAAATGTCCGCTAGTATATGTACAGTGACCATACATCCTTTATTTCAGAAAGCTGTCCTTCAGAGTTATTTATTTTTCAAAAACTCACTTTTGTCCTTTATTTTGGTCCTTCAACTTTTACCGTACAAACGGTACCGCTTAATGCAGAGTCTTTTACATTCATGTAAAAAATAAGGAAATGGAATGGTCTTTTTCAAATAAATTTCCATATCCTGTTTGATTTTAGATATTTTTTATTAGAATATGCATATTTGTAAAGTTCTTCTTGGCTTTGCTCTTGAATCTTCCTTTGTAAGGCAAAGTTATAAACTTTTTTTTTTAATCCTTATGAACCTCTTTCGGGTTTGTCCTTTATGTTTTCCAAGACAATAGGGTCACTGTAAGTATATGACAATTAAAAAACCCCTCTGTGCTTGGGGCGGATTAGGAAAAGATTTGGAAATGAACACACAGTGGAAAATTTGTGCATATGCCATTTTTCCACACTTGCTCGCTTAAGGCGGTTTGTGGTTGAGCATCCCATCAGTTGGACTAGATGTAAATTGGGTATATATACCGTATATATTGTGTGATCTGTCTCATCTTCAAAGGGGAAGAATAGAGCAAGTCCAGCAAGTAGACCCACAAAATAGGTTCAACTGTGGTCTTGTATGCGCGGTTGAAGAATACGTGACCCGATGTGTGCAGTTGCACCTTTCTTTCTCCATAGTTCTCTGAGTGAAACTGATAGTGTTGTCCTTCCTCAGATGGACAATTTTAATGGGGCTCAGAATGTCAGGAGGAGGGGACGTTGTCCTAACGTCTTCATGGGCATTTGCATTTTCAGCTTCAACGGACGGCAGATAAATCAGATCAGCGTGTTTGGTGCTATGCTTAGATTTGAGATTTCTTTTTGCATGTAAAAATGTCAATGTTTTTTTCTATTTTTGTATGGGTTTTTTTTACATCTGTACACATCTGTCAACCTTACGAGGTAGACCAGATCAGGAAATTGAGTCCATGGGGTGACTAGAACTAGGTTTTATTGAGATAGGCTATAAGAACAGAATCTTGCAGGCCTGGCTGTGTTTTCCCTTTGCTCAGCCAACCTGAGTCTGTTCCTAAGGTGTTCCCTGTTTCCCAGGCTAAACACGTTTTTGTACATGCTGTAACTGTCTCTGAATAGTTTCTCCAAAGTCATCTTTTTGGTTTCCTACAACCTCTGTTGGGGAAATTGTTCTTTTAACTTGTATATTTTTTAAGAGTATAACCAAGTCCTGGGTAGGCCTGGAGGGGGAGGTCTCATCTCAGAAATGTCCCCTCAAGTTTTGGGCCATGAGCCCAAGGGAGCGAAGGTGCTGTTATCATCTATGTGTTGTTGAGGGCTCTCAGAGGTTCTGTGCCCCAGATAACTGTTGTGAGACCCTCTGGTTGAAGGTGGGCTCTGGGGAACAGTTGGTCTTGGATTGCATTGTCCCTATGTGGCTCATCCTGTGTGCTGATCCTGGAATGCTCCTTGGTTCTCCGAGGAGTTCCAGGAAATGAAGCGCCAGAAGAGATGCCTGGAGGACCATAGGAGAAAGATGAAGTTGAAGAGGGAGTCTGATCAAACTTCAGTAGGAGCCCAGAATTACATTGTGGTGATAAAGGCAGCAAAACAGCATTATTTCTCCACCTTTGCATCTGCCAGTAGCTGGCCAGCAGCCCTCTTTAGGGTGACTTATTCCTTGTTGCAGAAAGAAGAGCCAAAAGAACATCTATAGGGCTTCTGTGAATATTATTCAAATGATCTGGCAAAAAAAGTTGCTGAGATCTGCTCAGAGTTGGACTCCAACTGGGTAGGTCTAGTTGAGGTGCCTGGGGTATGGCCTTGTGGGTCATCTAGGGTGAGTTTCAGCCTGCAGTTCCTGAGGAAGTGGATAGGGTCCTTCAGACTGTAAACCTGACCACCTGTTTATTAATCCCAGGTCCCTTCTGGATTAAGGCTGTGCAGGATGTGACCTCTGGTTAGGTCCATGCAGTGGTGTCAACTTTTTTGAGAGAGGCAGTGATTCCTTCAGCTTTGAGTGAGGTGATAGTGTGCCTCTTCCTCAAGAAGCCATCACTGGACCAAACAGTCTTGGATAATTTTAATCCAGTCTCCAACCTTCTTTTTAGGGCGGTTGTAGAAAAGGTGGTCAGGCAATAGCTTCAGAGGATCCTGGAGGAAATGGATGATCTGGATCAGTTTCAGGCTGGAGTATAGTACAGAGATTGCATTGGTTACACCTGTAGATGACCTGTGGTGGAGCTGGGATGTGGGTGGTGTGTCTATTCTAGTGCTCCTTGATCTCTTAGTTGGTTGAGATACTGCCAATCACAGTAACCTTTTGGACTGGCTATGGGGATTTAGAGTGGGGGGCACCAGATTATGATGGTTCTCTTCCTTTCTCTGGTGGGTTCCATGCAGTGTTAACAGGGTAGAGATCAAGTCCATGGCCCCTCATCTGTGGGTGCCCAGGGGCTCAACATTCTTGCCCCTTTTGTTTAACCTCTACACAAAGCAACTGGATGAGGCCATCCCTTGGTTTGGAGTCCACTATCTTCAGTTTGCTGATGATACCCAACTGTATTTCTTGACCTCAGGCTGCCCAAGAGATGCTGCTGATGTTCTGTCCCAGTACCTGGAGGCTGTGCAGGTCTAGATGCAATGGGACAGACCTGGGATGTCTAACAAGACTTGAGTAGTTACAGATATTTGGGCCTGCTAGTCCTGAGGACTTTCTACCTTTAGTCTTGGATTTATTTATTTATTTAAATTGATTTATATGGCTGCCCCGCCCACAAATGCAATTCTGGGTGGCTGATAAGTTAAAAAAATACTAAAAATATTTTTTTATAAGTATGGGGTGACACTTTCTCACTCAAGACTGGTGTCAGCCTTTCAAGTTAGACCAGACATGAACACCAAAGTCATGAATACTAAAATCACTTTTATTATAAGATTACAGTAACAGAATCTTGCAACTTTGAATGTGCCTCCCCCTCCATGCATTTATGTTCAAGAGAACCAGGGAGGGTCCAATCTGAGACACTTTCTCAAATTTCATTCCTGCATTGGATTCGGATTTCTCTTATCTGACCATTCCTTGGCTGTGGCTATTCCTCCTCTTCCTCAAGGTTATTCTCATAGCCTATTACAACTGGTGTGTAATCTTGGAGGGGAGTGGATTGTTTTGGACTCATAGCTCCTATGAAGAGCAGGTGGCAGCTGTGGCCAAGAAGTCCTTTGCACAGATCCATTTAATAAGCTAGTTGATCCATTCCTGGACTGGGAGACACTTCAGATGGTCACTCATGCCCTAGTCACCTCACAAATGGAGTATTGCAATGCGGTCTACATGTGGCTCCTCTTGAAGACCACT